AGTAAGGCTACCTTATGTTCTGAAGCACATTATTTCTCTCGATCCGTACATAACACGATTATGCTTTAATGGACATGCCCTAGCATTTTTTTCAGTTGGTCATCTATAAAGCAGGCTGGTGCTTCTGTACCAAGTTTGTGTCGGAAGATGACTAAATCACAGTTTTGTCCTCCATGCCATCGAAACTCGTGACATAATATGTTATTCATGTAGTAACTTTGGAGGCTACATGTTCATCTGCCTTGCTAGTCTTGGTTTGTTGCCTGCCCGTCCTGCCTGTGTTTCTCAGTATAATTATAACTGGCCATTGCCAGTGCAGAAGAAGCTATAAAATGCGATAAGAGATATTTCATTGGTTCTATCTTTGCTTGATTTGTTGGCCTGAAGACCTTCACCAAACCTTCACTTTTATCTTCATTAGCTCACCAGCGAGAAATGGAGCTCGAACTGGGGCAGGGCTAGGCGTTTCCCAAGAAAAGAAAAAGTGGGGAAGGGTAATTTAGGAGTGACATAAATTACTAAGGCTAATTTAGTCATAATAAGTTCTGTTTGCACCCGTTCCCTCCAAATCCCTCCACCTTTTTTTGGGGTGGGGGATTTTTTTGAGCCAAATGATATGAGGAGAGCAATCACACCCTTCAAATCTCTCCAACCAAAACACCCTTAATGAACAGCCTTTGTTTTCATTGGTCATCTATAAAGCAGGCTGGTGCTTCTGTTCAAGTTTGTGTCGGAAGATGACTAAATCATAGTTTGTCCTCCATACCATCAAAACTCATGACATCATATGTTATTCATGTAGTAACTTTGGAGGATACATGTTCTTTAGCTTGCTAGCCTTTGTTAATGCCTTGCTGGCTTCCCTTTGTTCTTAGGTATAATTATCTTTCTTTGCGTCATGTGGTTTGATTCAATGTTCTGAAATGGGGTCTTTGTTCGCTGATTTCTTCTAACATTGGTATCCTTTGACCCACTTGTTTTTCATTCATCTAGATGGTTATTATTCTTAAAAAATACATAGTTTGTGTTGAAAGCGACCTTGGCTTTAAATCTTTCTCAACATTTTGTTCGTTTGTAATTTGGTTTTCCGATATGTCTTTGTTTGTATTTGAAATCTGTACTCAAATAGCTCAGCAATTTCTTTCAGGGCATGTTATGGTGTTTTAAGATTTGTTATGGAAAGTGGAGCAAAGGGATGTGAGGTACCTTCTTTGAATCCTTCGCTGTCCGCATTTTATTTTATCCAATAGTTTAATGTCTAATTGCTGTTTTGAATTGTGAGTAGGTCATTGTAAGTGGAAAACTGAGGGCTCAGCGTGCCAAATCCATGAAGTTCAAGGATGGATATATGATTTCATCTGGTCAGCCAGTCAAGGACTATATTGATTCTGCAGTAAGACATGTTCTCCTCAGACAGGTTAGCTTGTGCCTAGACTTCAGAGTTCAGAATTATATTCTTGGACCTTATAAAATGTTTGAGCCGCTTCAAAGTGGCCCTGCTAATTATATACTTGCTTAATGTTTCTTAGGGGGTTCTTGGTATCAAGGTCAAGATCATGCTTGATTGGGATCCTAAGGGAAAGCAGGGTCCTAAAACTCCTATTCCTGATGTTGTCACAATCCACCCTCCAAAGGATGAAGAAGAATACATCCGGCCTGGTGCTGTTGTGGCAGCTGATATGGATGTCCCAGTCGTGCCTGTCGCTTGATCTGTTTTGATTCAGCTGTTGGTTTAAATTTTGTAGTGGTTAAGTCAGTCATTCAAGTTTTTCTGGTTTCTTAAATATTCAGAGATTGTTATATACTAAAGTTGTGAGTTTTTAAGCAGCATAAGCCGGGTTCTGTTGCCAACAGATTGGCCCTAAAAATAAACTTAGGTACTGTGTCTAATTTATTCTTCTAAAGTAATGTTAAATCTTTTGAAAAGCTGGCCAGTGCAGAAATAGTCTAAAACTTGGGGCCAATTGTCCAGTGGGTCGTCGAATGGAAATGTCCTTTAGGATCGAACTTATGATTAATCGTGAACCTTGTGGCTCAGTAATACCCGAGGCCTACCACAGAGGAATATTGTGTCGCGTGTCTTTTGAAGGGATTGCTGATAAAAAAATGGGTATCGTGATCTTGGTGCATTCAATATTTTAACTTTTTAATGTTGCAATTTTACCTGTGATTTTTTGAATTTGGTATAATTTCACCTTTTTTATTTATTTAAAATCACCCGTTTGCTTTTATTCACATGGACAATGGCAATTAAAGTTAACAAGTTTGGTAGTTTTTATCAAATTATTGACGATTTTCAATTAACTTACAATCACATCAGAAAACTAGAAAAGGGGTGAAAGTACATCAAATTTAATAGATTATATTATGAGTATCCTAAAAAGAATCACAAGTGTTATGATATTCGAAATAATAATTTATTTACAAGAACGAAGAAAGTCATTCAAAATATCCGTGACCATGAGGCGCATTTTTAATTGATGGGAATTATTGTCCATTCCCGGAATCAGAATCCTCCCACCTTAGAAGATAGGCTGTCTGTTAGATTTAATTTGATGGTGCAACTTTGATTTTTCAAATATAATTTTGATTTTGATTTTTTTCCCTTTAGAAAATCATAGAACAATATAAGATTGCACGGTGTTATAGTCATAAAATCAGTCATGAGTCATCAGAATGTCCTTTATTTTATGTCTAAACTAATGATGAAAAAGAATAATTTGTAAGAGAACACCCACCAAACAAAAAATAAAGATGGACATCCTGAACCAACTTAAAAAAGAAATAATGGCGGAATATGACAAAGTCAAAACAAAGTCGAGTTTCACTACAACACACTAATAATTTGACAGGCAGAACAAAAATGTATAAAGACAAAAATCTGGAGGCCAAACCGTTCAATGAAATCAAATAGGAAACAAAGGTGCTCAGAATTCACGGGTCACCTAACAAAAACAAAGTCAACATCTTTAAGGTTAGTGGAGATGGCTACAGTGGAGAAAAGGATTGAATTGGAATGATTACTGAATACCAATATCATCCCAACCAGAAAAGAAGCAAAAACCTAATACTGTATTTATGACTCATGCTTGAATTAATGAAGTTTTACTTGCTTAGAAATGTTTGGTGATTATCACCGTAATTTGTGCCTGATATGATATTTTTAAGCCAAGTTGTTCTTGAGTTAAAAATTGTGGGCAAAATTAGGGGGCATATTACGATAAAGAATTACTCCATATGGTCCCCGGAATAAGAACTGAATAACTGAGTTTATGTATTGATCTTTTTTAAAATATCATCTTTAATCATTTGCGTTAGAACTATCTCATAATGGAAACATTCTTGTATTTTAGATCAAAATGAATAGTCAACTAGATTTTATATTTAAGATCGGAGAGGATAATATGATGGAAAGAAGATAAAGGAATGGCCTTGATACATAGAAGAAAAGTTGGGTTGATGATAAAAGGAGGAGAAATGAAGGATGATATGCTTTTCAACAAAACAAATGAATGAATTGCTGCAAATGAAAGGAACAAAGTAAAAGGAAGAGAGGATAAAGTAGATTCCCACTCCACAAGTTTTTTTTTCACTTCATCATCTTTCATTGGCCTGCCAATGATGTTTCCCTACTTCCTTCTTCTTATTGTCGTTTTGCGTTTCCTTTTTTTTTTTTTAAATTTATTTTTAAGGGATAAAATCCGTCTTTGCATCTTTTTTAAGCTACACTGTTTATAAGTCCATGTGTTTCTCTCTTTTTAAAGTTTAAAGGCATCTTTTTATTTGTGTATCTAAACCACAAGCTCAATATTATAAGCACATAATTCCTTAACTAAAGACATACTTATCATATTTTAATTAAAAATTATATTACTCTTATGTTTCTATATAAAAAACTGATTAAAAAAAAGATATGAACATATTGGGTTTAAATAGTCTAATAAGGTGTCACTTTTTTAAGTCAAGAATCATCCTTTAGGGTGGCATAACCCTCTATAGTATAAAAATTTAATTAATTAATCATTTTATGGAGAACTTAAATTTGTTTTTTTTTTTTCCAATCATCGTAAAATTATTATTTTAATTAATAATACTAGTAGTAGGTTAATCCTTGACGGCCTTGATATGATAATGGTGTTGTGATGCCAACTTTAGTACAAAGCTGCTTTTTTTTTAATTTACTTTTTGTTTCACTAACTGTATTCCTCTTCATTCTAAGATCCTCGTTATCCCTTGCTTCTATGATTCTATCCTTATTCGTCTTCTTGGCAGAATACTTCTATTATTATTCTTTTACACTATACATAATGTGAAAGTTATTTTTTAATGGTTAAAAATAAGAAATTGTCATTTTTATTTTTTAAAAAATCGAATCTATATCATTGCTATTTTCTTGATACATCGGAAATATTATATAACCACTAATTTAATAAGACTTCATTCATCTACTGGTTGACAGACGTGTTAATTGATATTACTCAAGGTCCTTTTTTTTCCCAGACAAATTACCTAATATGTGAATCTATTGACTAAATCATTTTCAAGTTAAATTAGGCCTCAATTTTAAGGGAGATCTTTCAACATTATTGACTAATTCCTGAAAGCAAAATTGATTTGACCAAGAAAAAACAATTTATATATTGTGAGATTAAAATGCTCTTAAAAGTTAAAATGTCAGAGAAATTAATATAAAGAATAAATTTGTTTTAATCTCTCTTGTGCTTCAAAAATATTTGTGATTTTCCGACTCAATCCACATCCATAAAAAAAAAAAATTGTTACGAAGTCCTAAATAAGAAATATAATTATTAAAAAGTCTCAGTAATACCATTGTAGTTTATAATGACAAATTATAGATAGTAAGTGACAACTTACTTATCATTAGGACTTGCTGATAATTATTTTCTTTTCTTAATATCTCATTATACTTCTCCAAAAAAGAATCCAACAATTTCATTTTTAGTTCCTACCTAAAGTAAGAATTTGGGCACCATATGGAGCTGAACATGAAATTAAAGTTTGGTATATTCAATAACATGATAGCTAAGCAACCACAAATCACAAAATAAATAAATAAAAATAAAGAGAGAGAAGAAAGTAATAAAGAAAGTGCATTTTCCTATTCATTCCTTTTGAACAAGATGATGGTACAAGGAATTATTGGATTTGGCTTCTATCCGCTATCCTTTCCTTCCACTTTCTTTTCACTACGCATCTTAATTGTTAGATTGAAATTTGAACACTCCAAAATTGATATTTTTTTAAAATTACTAATAAAATATCAAATTATTAAAAATTAATTAATTAAAATTGTTAAATTTTAGTCATAACTCGTGACAGTTTCAAGACTGCAATAACAAATACTCCTTCGGTATTGATATACAAATTTAATTGAAAAGTTGATGTTGGTTCTATTTGTAAGACTTATCTCATATGCTTACCAATTTTTTTAAAATTAACTCTATTAATATTTTCCAACGATAGTCAAGTAGAAAAGAGAGAAATAGAATTACAGAAGATGCTTATGGTATTTTAGAAAAAAATATATCATATTAACTAATTTAACTAACATCTTTAATCCACTTAAATTAATTAATTAAATATTATATTAAGGGCTGGAGGAGTAACTCAAAAAAAAAAATCATTAAATCTGAACTGCTCAAAGCTTAACATAATGATCAAAATGGGTCATGGATGAAAAATGAATAGAAAAAACAGAGAGAAACCAAGTCCGAAATTATTACAGCACAAGAATGCTTCATTTCTATTAAATCCACAGTAACAGTAACAAAGGTTACACCTTACAGTAAAACAAGAGATTCTGCAAAAACCATTCTTATTTGGAAATCTAAGATCTGATGATGAGTCAGTAATGAGCTATTTAATTAAGCTACAAACACAGCATCAACTACAAATTAATTCTAATTAATCTTGTTCTATATCTGGGACAAATTACAAAATTAACTTAACAACACAAACTAATAATAATCTCTAAGTAGGCCTGAGTCTTTTTTGGCCACCTTTCCCATCTGATTTCACTGCACCACTGGAATCTCCCTCTGAAGAAACTTCCATGGATTTGGAGAAAGAAGTTGAGAGATCAGAATACAGATCCACCACTTTTCTGATGTTATTATTAAGCTCTTTGATCAGACCCACGTTTCTGCTAAGGTTGTCTGCTACCTTGGACTCATGATTCTGGTTTATCTCGTTTATCAGAAGCCTGTTCTGATCCAATATGTTCTGTACTTGAACAAAGTTCTTCTTAAATGTCTGCAACATCTTCCCATCCACCTGTGTCCCATTGTTCACACCAGAAAATGGGTCTCCCTCCATTGTTGACGAATCCAGAAGCTTAAATCAAAGTCAGTCCCAACAGAACTGCAACATGAACAAGACACAAACTTTGGATCAGACAGTGGTTTTTTTTTTTAAAAAAAAAAACCCTTTTGTTGTTTTTCCCAATCATATTGCCACTTAGCATTGTCGGAAAATACATGCCTGCACTGAACATATATCGCAGAAAGACAAAAACATGAACAGTTTTTGAGCTGCTCAAGAAACATGTTTAGCATATGAGACAAGTTCTGCAGAAAATAGTAGTAGGAATCATTACCCCCATGAGCTTCTTTTCCAGATGGATCAGTTTGTCATGATAATGCGATTTTACTAATAATAACTCTATTATTATTGTTATTTAATAATAATTTATTATGTGTTCATGATTAAATGGGAAAAGATGATGCAGCCCATTTTCCTAAAAAGGTCACCTTTTTTTAATGTACTGAGAAAAATACCTCCTTACAGCTCAGAGTTCAAAAGAAGAATCTGAAATACTACCAGTCAAGGAAGCCTTTTTCCGGGAAAATTACCAAAACCCCAAAATTTCCGAAACAGACATACATTGAATAAAACCAAGACCACAT